CTCACAGAAATATGCTTAAATTTTTTTTTATCTTTAAGAAAATTCATTAATTATTATTTGCAGGCAGCAAAGATCATCTCATTGATATATAACATTATGAACATCAGTACTGATTTAATCTGTAATGATTATGCTGCACAGTACTGCTCTCTAATTTTAATACAATTATTTTATAATTCCTTTTTTTTCTAAAAGATTTTCTGTAAAATGGATTGAGTAATAAAATAAAAGTAAAATTTAAAGAAAAATAAATATTACTTGATTTAGTATATACTAAGGTTAGTTGGTTTAAATTAGATACAGTAGAGCGCCGATTATCCGAACCCTTATTATCCGAAACATGTCCGAATTTTTTTTTTTTTTTTTTTTTTTTAAAGCTTACAATACTTTTCGACTTATTGACACAATTCTTTTTTACTTATCGACAATTTTTCTAAATTTAGAAGAATAAAGAATATTCACTGCATCTGAAGACCTATTTAATTTACAACCTTTTTTAGCTGTTTTCTTATAGTAGCCAATACATACATGTATTGTTATACAGTTAAACCTACATACCCCTTTAGCCCTCTTCAACTGAAAATTATCTTCCAAGAATGCGAGCTTCAATTTGACAGTCTACAATGGTTGAAATTAGGAAGGAGTTTATGAATAGATATGTGCTGAAGTTCTACTATTGGGGGGTGGGTACTTGTCACTTATGGTTAGTGATTACAGTGCTTGGAATCTGAAATCTTGGAATAAAAGTCTTAACAAAAAAATAAACGAAACTGAAGTTTTAGAACTAGTAGATCTTTCCGATGAAAAGATGCCAGGTTATACAGCAGAAGAAATAGAACACTGGTGTCGATACACTGAAAATGACCCTGGATTTCAAATTTTAAATGATGATGAAATTGTTGCTGAAATTTCGAATGAAAATCGGAGCTCGACAAACGAAGAGGAAGAAGTAGGTGATCAAATTCAAGAAAGTGCACCTTCTCATTTAGAAGCATGCAATTCATTAGATATTACAATGAATACGTTAAAACGTCAAAATGATGTTGATCCAGTTCAGTTGATTTATTTAAAAAGAATAAGGGATATATGGCTGCTCAAAAAAGAGCATCTTCTTTGAAACAAAAGTCTTTGCTTGATTTCTTTTGCAATGGAACATTAAGAAAAATGTGGTAAAATCAGTAATTTATAAAAAAAATTATAAAAAGCTGAAATATGATGAATATAATTCAAAATTAAAAAAAAAAGTTTAAAAAATAAATGAAAAAATATTTTAAAATTGAAAAAAAAAAATTTAAAGATGCCAGAGCTATTTTGGATAGTACTACCAATTCTAAGCCTAGAAATAGTGGCAAGGGAAGTTAGTGCATAAATAATAATCATTTAAACTAGATTTTAAACAACTTTCCAAATATCCGAACTTTTCATTATCCGAACCACGTTCGGCCCCGAGCAGTTCGGATAATCGGGGCTCTTCTGTATTTGTATCACTATAGATATAATTCATAAAAATTATTTCTTTCTTTTTTTAAAATGAGAGGTTTCTCAAATTTTTTAGTTTTTTTTACAAATGTCTATATCTGTCATTAACTACAGTAAAGAACCAATAATCCGGAATGCTGGGGACCATTGCTATCCTGTATGTCTGAATTTCCCAGTTTTCTGGATTGCTCAAAAATGATTCAATCCAGCTTAATTATGTTTCTACCTCAATACTGAATTTTAAAAAATAACTGTTTTAGTATTGTAATTAAAAATTTGTATTTTTACTTCACTTTCTTTATTTTATTATATTTAAAAGAATAGTGTTTTATTTTTCTTATAATTTCCCTACCACCTTTTGTTTGCCGATATTTCCCTCTTGCAAGTCAAAGGAAGAAATTAATTCGGTCGTTTCATCTGATTTCGTTTTCGCTGCTTAAAGTGACCATGTTCCTCCAGTTCTTTATATTTAGGATTCCAAAATATGTCTTAACTGCATCTATACATCTCAACTTGGGTTATCCTCTTCCTTTCTGCAGCTTTGCCAAAACTAGTCTTTTTGCAAAGTTTAAATACCCTTTATTGATTATTTATGATTTTTACCACAAAGTCATTGTAGAATATGGATCTAGATTATATTTTTCTTTAATTTAAAGGAAATTCAAGCTTAACTCTTGAAGTGAGTACCTAAGTAAAACAACTGAAATTTCTTTGTGCCACACTTCTTTCTCATCGAAGGGAAAATACAAGACATAGGGAAGATTGGATTTTTGATATATGAGTTCAGGACTAATGTTCAGCATATTAAGGTGCAAAAACGTGAAAAAAAAATTGTGGTTTAGATTATTTAAAAAAAAAAAAAAAAAAACTTGTCAAACAACTTTTCTCAATGGCAGCTTTTGTTTTAGAAATTAAGAAATGTTTAACATTTGCTTTAAGGTTGCTACATTGCAATGAATAGTTCAGTTAATAGGAGTCAATGTATCTCAGTCACAGTTATAGTACTAATTGAATTGATCACTTGCTATTTTGAATATTTTTTTGGTTAACAGATCCTTTTCGTCAAAATAATAGAAAACCCAATTTTTTCTTCTTATGATATTGTTAATGTTATTTATCTATTTTAAGGATGTAATGGAGTCTTTCAAGGAAAATAGTGTAAATGAAACAAGCTTAATGGCAACACCAGATGTATCACAAAGTGAAATATCTGAACACAGTAAACCTAGTTTAAAAAACATCCGACCCCTCACACAGGCCTATCAAAGTCCTAGTTCACAGGTTCAGGTTTGTATTATAGATTTTGTTTTTTTTTTCATTTGTAATATCATTTATTTTTTTAAATGGTAATAAATGAGGGTGTCTGTGCTGTAATAAGTAACTAAACAGAACAGAGTATTGAACATGAAAGGTAGACAAAATCTTACAGCTATTTTGATTCTAGAAACAAGTACCATCATGAGTGCCTGGTACAGTAGAATTTGATCAATTGTTTCTCGGTGGACATTTTAAACGATAGATACAGGAAAATGATGGGTGTTGGTTAGCTAAAATTATCAAAAAATGACTAGAAAAATGTATGACATTAATAAATTTGCAATAAGTATAAAAAAAATTTGTTGAAACAATTAAGTACTTCCTGCAAAAATATTTGTGGTGCAAAAGAAAGGTTAAATAAGTATATTTATTTATTTAAATACTTGGTAATTTTAGTTCTAAATTTTTGACATTTGTTACTGATTGCTGTCCATTTTCTGAAAAATCGTGTGAATACAAAAAGTTCCTATTGTTTTAAAGGCTTTGAGGCCTTCCGCAAATGTTTGCTCTAATTTGTTATGTTAAGTCTGTTCTTCATCAGGATCTCTTTGCACTTCTGCGACTATTTCTCAAACCAACACCACCACAAGTTTCAACACTTTGATCAACTGATTCATAACCATCAAACCTGTTGTTGTTTTACCCCTGATTGTAACAAATCCACATTATTATTAGCATCAGAGGTGACTTTTTTTCCTCTTTTGCACAAAACAAATTTACTTATGTTTTTTTTTTCTTTTTTTAATGTCACTAGAATTTCTGAATAATAGATGTGGAAATCTGCTAGTTTCAAAAACAATCTAAACAAGACTTATTAACATTATAAAAAATAGCTCAATTCTAACGGAACTTTTAAAACAATATGATACGTACATGAAAGCAAAAGATGCATGAACAATGGGTTGATGTTTATGTCCTTAATGTTTTTATAAACATTTAAGTGTTACATTAAGCAATTTCCATTTTTGTATTGCAAAATAATCTAGCTTTATAAATATATTTTTTCACCTTTTTAATCAGATAATTCAAGCATAAATTTACTAAGTGGATAATTTGAATTTGTTTATTATACTTAATGCTTTTTAGTCATTTAAAAGGTTTCCTATTATACTAGTTATCTTATTGTTTTATTATCTTATAATATTATCATAATTCACATTACACAAATTTTGCAATTGCACCAATATTTCCCACCTTTTTTTTTTACTATTTCTCTAGAATCTTACCCTAACAATATGAAGACATATTGTTTTACAAAAAAAAATGAATGGCTTATATAACTAATAGAAGAAAAAAAATTCTAGACAGTCCTTAAAAAGTAAACTTGGGAATATAAAATAATAAAAATTTTGGATTAATTGTAATAACCTTTTAAAACCCATTGCAAAATGGCAAATCTGTTGCAAAAAAATAAAAATGTTCTTGTACATTATTCAAATCTAAGTAACATGTCTCTAAAAATCATTCTTCAATTTATAATGTAACATTTTTAAAGTTTTGCTGCAAAGTACTTCAGTAAATGTTATTTATGCCTAGGGGGGGGGGGATCAGCTTTGACCGAATTGAATCAGCTTTATGATCGTAAGATTTATTTTAAATTATGCCCAGTTAAAAATCCATTGTTAAATAAAATATGCTGTAAAAATATTAAGGAAAAAGGAAACCGAAGTTTATTTTTCAAAAAGCTAACAATGCCTTGTATCTTACATCTTCGTGATCAAAATTAGAGCAAAAAAGATGCGTCGATCAATAACAGAATGATCATAACACTTTCGCAACGAGTTTTTTTTTTTTTTTTTTTACAACAGGAAAATTTTGGTATCATAAACTATGAGTAGGGCAGCATGATGTACGGTAGTGCCATCTATGTTCTGTGAATGAAAATACCTTCAAAAATAAATGCAGGACTGATGGGAAAGTCTCCCATTAGACAGAGAAGCGTTTCTGTTCCAAAAGATTTATTTTTTTTAAAATTTGCTTGGGACGTATGTGTCCCGTTAGGCGCGAAAGGATTAATTTCCTATTACAATCTTATTGTAAAATTTGCATAAGAACCAATGGATCAAAATAGTTTAGAAACTATTTTATTTTCTAAAACAAATGAATATTTTTTTTTCAATAATATTTGCTCTCCATTTAGACTAAATATTTATATTATTATAGAATTGTGTTCTATAGTTCTTAAGTTTATTTTCTTTTTCAGGCTACAGTTCCAAAATCTGGAGGCATAGTTTCAAAATTGATCAATTTCATTAAATGAGAAATGTGTTTCAATCAATGCATTTAATTTTGTAATCATTAGACAACATGTAATCTTAGATGTGAATTATTTTATTGTAAATAAATTATTTATAAATCCTACTTGTTAATTTTCATAAATCTGGTTTATTTATTTGAATGGTACCTAGCTACCTTAAAATAAAATATTTATATCCAAAAAACACAAAGGTATCTTTGCTGCAGCATGCAATTGAGTATAATGATACACACAGGTATGTTATTTGCGCCATTATATGGTGTGTTCTACTTCGTTGTACATTTGCTATTTGTGCTTTTATAGTCTGACTGCTTAATTTATTTTGAAAAATAATAAAGCAAGGTATACTGCCATCTTAAAATAAGACTACATTTATTTCCCTAAAACAAAATCGCTTTGCATCAGTATAATTAAATTAGAACACAACTTATAATCACACAAAATATGTAGTTAAACAATGCAGCCTAAGTTATTTGTGTTTTCCCCTGTAATTTCCATATTTTTCTACAATAAAAAACATTGTTAATTAAAATATTTGATTGTCAATGACTTAGATCTTTTTTTCCATATAAGAACATAATTAAAATACCAAGGAAAAGTTTGATGTAGAAATATTATCTTTTGATGTGGCTTATCGCTATACTGCTTTTATGTATTTATGTGCAAAATATAGCGAAAAAGTATATGCTAACCACATTATTTCAGTTCACAGCACTGAAATTATTAATCTCTAAGTGTGAAGCATATTTACCACCAACTTCACTCATTTTTAAATGGTCTTTTCCCACTTATGGTTTGTGCTGCCATCTGATGACTTCAGAAAATATGAGGGAGATGATGAAAGGCTTTGTTTACATAAACATCGGTAACAGTAAAGGTTAGCAAAGGGTCAAGAAAAATGATAATGGGAGCCATTTTCTCTTTTGCATTCTATGTTAATTCATTGTATAATTTCGCATAGAATTTATTTGTTAAGACAGGATTTATAAATTCTGTTGATTATAAGCTCAGAAGTTCAAGTCAGTACTCATAAGCTCAATCCTTTACAGCAGGAAAATTTTGAAAATCCCATCAAAATAAAGATCTTAAAAATCAAATTAATTTAGATAATAAGATAAATAAATTTCTGTTTTCAAAATCAGTCTCAAACTCTAAAATATTTTAACATAATATTAGTAGGGGAAAATGGTCAAGAGTTAAAGCTCAGAGAAAAAGTTCCTTTAGAAAAAAAATTTTGTAAGTTAGTTACAGGGCTGATTGTGCTCCGGAATTTTCGCCAACAGTGATCCGGAGATCGAAGGTCCAGATGTTTAAAAAAATCATGGGTCACTGAAGTTTCCGGAAATCAAGTTTTCAAAAGTGGAACTTGAAAACACAGTTTATTTGTTTGTAAGGGAGAACCAGAGAGATACTTTATAAGCTTATATTCATGATTAATATTAATTTTTTAGCAGTAAATAGTTGTTCTAATCATAAACTCAAGAAAGTAAGACATTTTTAATTACTTCTCCAGGTCATCATAGATATGTGTAAATGGTATAGGTATGTGTAAAATTTGAAATATATTTTTAGTAAACTAAGAAATATTGATACCTTGTTCAAATTTTTTTTCAATTTAAACTGTCTTTTTTTTTTAAAAAAAACTCAATTTTCCGGAATTTTGACTTAGGCTCACAATCACCCCTGCAGTTAGTAAGCATTAACTCTGTTGAAAATATTGGTAAAAATGCTTACTCCTTTTAAATATTTTTTTTTCTTTATATGTTAAGTGATAAACATCATAGTAATCATTTTTAAAAAAAAAGTAATGTGCAAAATTCTAAACTGAACTATCCTGCTATTTATGTTTTGTACTTCCAGATGAAATTTATGTTTTCTAAAATTCTCCTTGTCACTTAGACGACAGCATGTAGAATGATAAAGAATAATTCAAATGAAAGTCTTACAATCGGCATGTACTGATTAGCCACCTACAAGTTTGACTAAATGTTGCAAAGTTACCTTATTTTACAATTTTATGACTGAAAATAATATTTCTCCAAGTAAAATATAAATAGAAATGAACCTCTATTTCCTAAAATTTTAATTTTTCAAAGAGGTTTTGTCCTAGTCACTTTTGGTGACTGGTTCTACTTTAGCTTTTTTTCCAAAAACATAGCTAATTTGGGCATATTCCTGGAATCGAAATCAGTTTTCAGTAATGTGACATTATTCACAATATTTGGTCGGTAGCGTTACAGAAATTTCAAGAATGACCAATGTATGCATTTCTGAATTGAATACAAACTAAAAACTATCAAATTGAATAAAAATTTGGGATTCGGGACCATTCATATGGTAAAAAAGAAAAGTCAAGACGGATTATTTTAAAATATTATTTTAATCTTAATATTACATTGTTGAGTGATTTTTGATAACTGAAATATTAACTCTTTAAAGACCAAGTGGCCTGAAGAAGTCCGGACTACTTAACGACCGTCTGGGGTCAGTGGGGAACTCTGAAGGGTGAGCTGCTTGACAGCGATGCATAGGAACTCATTGACAGTCAAAAGGAAAGAGGTGTGCGAACTTCACGCTTTATTTAGAAACATTTCCCCCTGTGGTTTTAGAGAAACACAAAATCCTCTTAATTTGTAACAGATTTGTTGAGATGGACCTTTTCATTTATTTATTAAAAATTCGGGAATGGCGGGCTTTTGGGAATTTATTTTTGAAATCCCCGCGTCCACTAAAACAAATATCTTTTTAATAAAATTGCAATGTGTTAACTGTTGACTACCAAACGCAAATTTGTTATATAATTAAAAGTGCACCATCATAAATACCGAAATTACTGAAAAAAATTTGGATAAAGCCAACGTTGTATAATGCTTTCTGTTAATCACTGATATTTTAATGATAATGTTATCATTAGTTCATAGAAATTTTGATTCTTGAATAAAAAAAAAAGATTAATATTTCTATCATTTAATAAACTTTTAATAGGTTTTTCTTTTTAAATATTTTATTTATTTCCGTTTTGTTCTCTATTATGCTGTTTGGTGTTTCTCAGTAATCAATTTTATTACAGTGTGCTTTTTATTAGTGAATTTTAGAGAATAGATAAANTTCTTTATAAGCTTATATTCAAGATTAATATTCATTTTTTATCAGTAAATAGTTATTATAATCATAAACTCAAGAAAGAAAGACATATTTGTAAATTTCAATTGCTTCTCCAGGTCATCATAGGTATGTGTAAAATTTTAAATATATTTTAAGTAAACTAGGAAATATTGAGAAAAAGGAAAAAAAAAACTTGTTTAAATTTTTTTTCTAATTTTTCGGTTTAAACTTTTTTATTTATTTATTTATTTTTTTTACTCAAGAAATTTTCCGGAATTTTGACTGGGGCTCACAATCACCCCTGATAAGAACGCGTACCCCCGCTAAACTGTTCCCGTACCCCTGGGGGTACGCGTACCACACTTTGGGAAACACTGCTGTAAAGGATCTCACGAAGTTCTGAAGCCAGTGGCACCATACCCAGTTGTAAAACATATGGGGTAAGGGCTGGGCACTCGAGAATGTGATCCGGGGTAAGTCGGACATTGGTGCAGTAATACTATTAAAAAACCATTATTTTTAAAAAAATGCATTTATTACGAATTTCTAAAATAACTTCAAGTTAGTCTTGCTTTTTAATTTAACAGTAGAACAAAACGACAATATATTTACAAATATAAAGGAAGATTATCAGGAAAAACAAGTCCTTTTATACATAACAAGTCAGGATGAGAAACAGATTACTTTGGCTCTTCAATCACACCATGAGCAACATCTGTCATCTTTGGATACTTCACTTTCTTTTTTTCTAACTCCTCTTGACTCCAAAGCATTAGTTTAAGCATAACAGCCAGTTTAGGAGTGGTTGACTCTCTGTTTTCCATTTCCAATATCGCTGCATTCACCTCACTAGCAATCTAAAATATTTATTTTTGTTTAATATATAACAGCTTACAAAAGGAATTTACAACAGTGAAATGAAAGGTATATCATTTTATTTTCAAAAGAGAAGGTTGTGGTTAAAAAAAGGAAGAAGAAAAACATTTAAACTTAAAATTTTAGAAAAATCTTACAAAGTACAAAATAGTGCTAAACATGCTTGTATATTTGCAGATCATAATCAAGCATAATATTAGCAACTAATGCAATATAATCCAGATCTGATAAAACAGTTAAGCATTACTGAAAAGACAAAATTAAACCATGAATGGGAAAAGTGTGAGTTTTACAGTTAAATATTGGGGAAATTCCCTCTGCAGAAATTTATGTCACAAATAATATTATATATATTACATGAAATAATAGTTATGTTTGTAATAAATAAAGCAGAGTTTTCAGTGCCATACATATTAACACACACTATATGTACTCAAGGGCGCTGGCAGAATAATATAAAAGGGGGGTGCAACCCTCCAACAAACTACCCTCCCCTCCTCCCGAAAAAAAATTTAAATATTCTGCTATTACATTTTGTTTTGTTATCACATATACTTTCATCTGTTCATTTTTTCAAGATACATTTCTTCATTGTTAGCAAGATATTTAAAAAAAAAAGTACGAATTTCTTGTACTTGCAAATTTTGTCCTGAGGCGATCCCGCTGGCATAGCTACTGACTTTGAAACACAAAAACTACAAACAGTAGTTTCGTATACTAACGTGTTTGTGCAAGCTTAACATTATTTATTGTGTTGATGAAGTTTTACAGTTGCGAGAAGTCAGCTTGTGTTATACACCTTTGTTAAACTGAATAACTAATAGAAAATATAATATTATTTACATTTTATTAAATGAAATTTAAAAATATAGCTTAGATATCTGCNCTTAATTAATAGTTAGCACTAATTAATTAGCATATTTGAGGTCACCCCCAGGAACCATTAAGATTGACACTTAGTTCGTGAAAATCGGATCATTAGAACGAAAGTTATTCAGGGTGATATCTTTTTTTTTTTGCGGACTGTACTTATTTATAGAGTAACCTTTTCAGTGGCAGTGGACCACTGACTTCCAACAAAAATAAATGTGACTTCCAACAAAAATAAATGTGCTTTTGCTAAACCAAAATGGTTTTTAACTATTTACTTTAAATTTTAACCTTTTCAGTGGCAGTGGACCACTGACTTCCAACAAAAATAAATGTGCTTTTTGCTAAACCAAAATGGTTTTTAACTATTTACTTTAAATTTTACGAAAAAATAAAATACTTCATCTGGGATTATTAAAGGGGTAACTTTTTATAAATGTTTTTGATTAAATTCCTTTTGATTTAATTTTCTGCCCCACAAAATTAACGTCATTTCCACGAAATGTTTATCATAACTCTTAGATGAGATAATTTATTTTTGTATAAGAGAATTACCCATCGTATATTGAAAGAATAACCTATTTAAAAAAATAACTTAAGTGTGTAGTTTTGAAAACTATTTAATTATATTTTTATAACTGTCAAGTGAACAATTGCGATTAGTCCATTTTGAAAAATTAAAATTTTGCAAAAAAATATGGAAAATTCAGGAACTAGTCTGGCATTTCAATCACTATATATATTAAGAAATCAGGATATTTTATTCTATACCCATCATCGATTTGCCGACCCAATTTTGGGTTTACGACTACTAATGTTCAACTCCGTAGCTCTGTAATTTGAACCAATCCAGAACACAAGGAAACTCCTGGATCAGCACCCCCAGAGGTTTGATTTGTTATGGGAACACGGAGGACTTTGTGACCCGACGGATTCAATGTACGCCAGTCACTATTTACTACACGGGGAGTCTTCAGCCGGTGGGGATCAAACCCATGATCACTTGGACATGGGCCCAGTACCCTACCAACCAGGCTATCCCGGCCTAATTCAGGATATCAAATTTTTAAGAATGATTACAAACCTTTTGGCGGTGAGATGGATGTAAAAGATCACCAAAGGGTGACCTTTCAGGTTCATCAAAAGCCAACAATGCCAAAGTCCTTTCCAGTTCAGATAAAACTTCTTTGTTTTCTTCTCCTCTTTCAGCTAATTGCTCCTGGGCATACTTTAAAGCTTCCTCTATATTTCTCTCTCGAATCAGCTCAATCAAATGTTGTTGCTAAAATTAAACATAATCCATATTAGGCTCAATTCAAAAAGATACAAGTTTCTTGTTGTTGTTTTTTAAATAATTGGAATCTTTTTATAGCATAGTTACCATTTTGAAATTATTTTAATGAATCTAAAATTATTTATGAATTATACAGAATAACATAAAACATTGATCTTCCGATAACATTGATACCCAGACAGTTAAAAGTTTAATTACATTAACTACACTGAGCTAAAGGCAGAACTAGAACAATGACTACATGTATATATAAAGAATTTTTTTCTCATGCAATTCATTTTTTTCCTAAGCAAGATGGCCATAAATACTCAAAAAGAAAGGTGCCTAACTTTTCTATTTTGATTTTAATAAGGCTTCACAATCAAAAGGGGTAGGTGGTGGCATAAATTTAATTATTATTTTCAGTTACGCCTTATTCCAATGCATAAAATATATTATAAAACACTTATACTTGCTATTAAACTTACAGAAACCGTATATTTCAGTGTGTAAGTTGACTTTTCAAATCCCCGAAATTTTTTGCAAAATCACCAAAGTTTAAGCATGGGAAATTAAGTAAGAAATTTATTGATCATGAAATATCGATGCACTATAAACAATGAGATAGATATGAATAACTCTGTATCAATTAACCCCTTTCAGAAAGTGTTTGAATGTGTTATAAATAATTATTGCATATTTTCTATACATATAAGGATTTTTTTAACTAAAATACTTTAAATTATGAATAAGAAAAGTTAACATAATTCATTCAAGATTATTTTTAAATAATATTAATACAATAAAAAAGTTTTAAAACCAACCATAAAGCTACAACTTTAGATTCCTGATCATCATTTGTGGGGAATTAATCAACCTTCATCTATCAAAAGGCAAGATAGAATCAAGTTAACATGTCTTATATATTAGTGAATTGGTCTTTAATATTTGTAGTGGTAGTTATGCCACACATTAACATCAGCAGTGTTGTCATACAAATTCTACTCTGCAATGGATTCTACTCTATCCTCATAGGTTGAGTCTCATAAAAAATTACAGTCATCCCCATCCAGAGAATTTAAAATTCCACACTTCTGAAAAGATTTGACCATGAAATAGAAATGTTTATATCTGGTTTTTCAGAGATCAACTGATGAACCAGAACTACCTCATATAATAAAAATTAGAGTATCAACTTATGCACCAGAATAAACAATTTATTTTAAAAAAATTATAACAAGACTATTTTTTTAACAAAAATATGGGATTTTTAGGCGTAATTGTTAGAGTCTAAATTTCTCAAATACCTGCAGATGGAAGAATAGATATCGATCTGCATCAAGTAATTCTGGGTGAAGATTATTAACCATTTCAATAGCTTCTTGAATTTTTCCATTTTGAATGGCATCTCTAATTTTGATTCGCTCATCTAAAGTATCAAGATCTACAGTTGGCTGGACACCAGATTCAATACGAAATCTCTCCGCAGCCCCCTTGAAACCTTCTGAAAATAAGCAAAAATTTTCCATTATTATTTGCATATAACTAAAAAGTAATAAAAATACCATAGTAATAAAAGTAATACCATAGTATAAAATGGTAATCTGTTCCCCTTAAAAAAAATTTTTAAAGAGGAAAGGCAATGGAATGTTTTCAGAGCATTTGCTAGATAGGGGAAATCAGATACTGTAACCTTATTAAAGTCACATGTTCACTTGTATTACAGTCATTTTTTAACACAAAACATGCATTTCATAAATAACTGTAGATCTATATAAAATGTTAGCCCCCAGGCAACTGTTTTGTAATGAGCCTGCACCCGATGCAGAAAACGGAATTAAATATTACAACTTTATGAAATTCGAAGTTTACTTTGTCGGTCAAATTTATGCTACAGTGTACAGTATGTCATGCAAGGACCTTTCAAGGGAAACTAGGGAAATGTGACTCGCCAATTTTGAAATAAACTAGTGGGATGTATGCCTTATGAGGAATAATTTTAGGGGGCAACATTCGTTTCGGCCCATAGAAGGTACTATGAGAGATAAAAAATAATTCAATATATAGAAAAATCGGTATTTTATTACTTCAATGCATACTCCAATTAATTTTGTGGTACTTTCATGTACAATATAATGCATATTTATTGTCAAAATTGATTTCAAAAATTTTAGATATCTGTAGTTTTTCAGAAAAACCAGTTAGGTTAATTTTAAAAAAAAGTGACATTAAATTTTTTAAATTTTTTTTCCAAAAAACTTTCCAAATTATTTGGAGTATGTAATTGCAAATCAATAATTTAATAAGTAATTAATTAATTAATAATTAATTACGTTCTGATTAATTTATTAATTAGCAAATTAATTAATTATCCAATTAATTACAAAATAATTGGATTATGAGACAATTGCAATAACTAATAGTCTGCTTTGAAGTAATAAAATACCGATTTTTCTATATATTGAATTATTTTTTATCTCTCATAGGACCTTCTATGGGCCGAAACGAATGTTGCCCCCTAAAATTATTCCTCATAAGGCATACATCCCACTAGTTTATTTCAAAATTGGCGAGTCACACTTCCCTAGTTTCCCTTGTTAGTTGAATTGTTACAATATCATATCTTCAGACTGCATTTCAAAATAAAATATAAATATTGAGAAGATTTTTAGTTCTTTAAATATAATATGGAAAATTTAAGACACTTTTGTAAAGTCTTGCTACATGTAAAAAGAAATAATAAAAACTTTAAACATGCATACAATAATGTATAGCATGAGAGAGTTCATGAGTTTTAAAACATGTTTGGGTAAATATATGTATTTTACCCATACATTATTAAATAGTATCGAAATAAATGAATGGAAATTTGATTTATGACTTTCATTTCATCTTTAAAAGCTTATAAGAAAAATTTGAATATGCTTAAAAATTAAGTAAATTAATTTAATTTATTAATTTAAATTTTTAATAGAGTCAAAATTTATTTTTCTGATACTTTGATAATTCAATAAAAATTCAAATAAGTTATTTTAATTTTTAATGTAAATTTTTAAAGTTATAGAATTTTAATCTGTATAACATTTGTACATTTTAAGATATTTTTGAAGCTTTTACAAAAGCTAAAAAGTAGCATAAAGTATTATTTTTTAATATATATTAAATTTAGTTACTGATAAGGCTTAATTAAAATTAGAATATTTTAAAGATTAAAATTATTTTAAGACCATCCCTTAAGTTAAATTTAGAAATATTAAATTTTTTATTAATAAGAATAATAAGTAATGTAACAAAACCTGTAACAAGGTAATTCATAATCAAGCGATTCATATCTGCCCTTTGCATTCGTAAGTTACCAATTCTGTCAAGCCACTCTGATTTTGTCAGTTCTTCAGGCTTTTCAATAGGAGTAGAGCCTAAAATTTAAGTATCATAATAATAAATACACACAAAACAGAGCTAAGATTAAAAATAATAATTAAACATATATTAGTACTAATTTGAATATTTATTATTCAATGGATAATAATTTTTTTAATTAAATTATTTAGATTTATTAAACAACATTAATTATTAAGTTAATGTTAATCTTTTAAAAATCTTCATTTAAGGAAATACTGCTAGATTAAAACCAATTCAAAATAGATACATCCTTTTTTTTTTTTGCTCAAGCTTATTAAATGCAGACTAATGTAAAATAAACGCTCTTATTAAAAAAAATTTGAAACAGTGTTCTAAAGAAATATAGGTCTGCACCTTCGTAGAAAACTACATAAAAAAATGCTCCACAAAATAACTTTAAATCTATTCTGAGTAATATTTTTATGAAGAAATTAAGCGTTTTGTTTCATAAAAATTCAAGATCTTAATGGCTTTAAACCTTTAAATAAAAACCATGTGGGTTATAACAATCATACATAAATATTTGGCTTTAGCAAATTATTTAATACAGAATTAAATGTGATTTTCAGCTTTTATAAACCATTGCCTCCCTTCATTCAAGAAATCAAAAACATTGAATTAATCTTTCACAAATAGAAAACATACAGTATTAAGCATAGTGAAACCTTTCTGCTACGACCACACGCTGTTGTTCCGACCACTTCAAAACTTCAACTTCATCAAAATTTTATCGAAAATACATGATTTTTCGCAAGCGATTTTAATGTTACTCAGAGTCACTTCCTCGGTCCGAAAATGGCACTTGTGCTAACGTCATCAAAACCGGATCGATAAATAAAACTTAGCATCAATAAAAATGACCCCTACTGACATAATTATGTGTAAAAACAAATTAACCAATTATGAATGATAGAAATATTTTTAAATAAATAAACAATTAAGTTTTTTGTTTAAGTTAGCATTTAATTCTGCATCATAAAAATTGCTTTAAAAAATGGGAAGAGGTTTGTGTGCTTGAGATGCTTAATTTTTTCAGAAATAATTTTTTTTTTTCTAATTTAACTTTAAACTCTAAAAGTAAATCATGGATAGGATAGTTTTTAGTGGACTCGGTCTGCAGCATCAGGTTGTCAATCGTTTTTAGGGATTTCTAGAAAGAGCTCTCTAAATTTGAATCTACTTATTTGTTTTGTTAATATTTTTTTAATTGCGATATTTTTTCATGTTTCCTTAATTGACCTTATACGCATTTGGTACAAAGGTTTGTCTAGTCAGTGGTAGAGGTTTTGATTATCACTCCTTAAAGTTTTTTTCACCACAAAGTCTATGGAAAAATTCTGTACCTCCCAAAATTGGTCGTAAATAGATGAGGTATCAATCTTCACTGTATCAGTCTTTCAATTAAAATAACTCTAATTAAAATTCAAATCTCCAGAGTTGCATTGATAATTTAATGATGTAATAGTTGAGAGCTTTAATTATGCAAATCACAAATTCCATCATGTAGTCAATGTACGAAAAAATTGAATGACAGTATTGTAAAATAATTCTAAGGCAAATAATTTAAAGTGAAAAAATAAATTAAAAGGAGTAAAAATCACTAGCATTCCTGAGAAACATACTTAATTAACATACATGACACATAGGAGCATACATAAGAGATGATAATATAAGTTCAGGTCAAAAAATTCTTCAAGCTTTTATTTATATTATGGTGTTGAATCTAAAAAGTAGAAAACAGGAACTTTTTGGTAACATGTGAGATACGCTACAATCTTTAAATAATCTGGTACTGTTAATGGGGAGAAATTAAAAGCATCTGAACAATTAATACCCTTCAAAAATAAACAAGATTTATTACAGGAGCTTGCAGTTTACTCTCATTATTGAAAGTTACGATTATGAATGTGCATAGTGATCGCAATTGAATCATTATAAGAAAATTAACTAGCTCAATAGGAAATAGAAATACTCATATTAAAATATAAATCATCAACAATATGAAACAAAGAATAATACTTGATTAACAAGAGTGACAAATGACAGCTCTCTTCAGGAGACAGTCACGTACTTACGCGACTTAATATGCTGGGTCATGACATAAGTAAGTTGTTAAGAATAAACATAAACAATATCGAATAAAAGAAATTACTAGTCATTCACAAATTATTGAACAGTTATTTTCAAATAGTTCCACACTTCTTAAAGATATACGAGGAATTTTCGCATTATAAACCAAAACCACTAAAAACAAATATAAATATTGCTGTATTTAAAGTTACAGTTAAAATCCTAGAAAAACAAACATATTGCAAACATAAATTTATGGAATTTAAATATCTCTTTAATTTTTTAATTTATTGATTTATTTTAAAAATTCAGTTGCAATAAAAAAATTTAATCAGTGTCATTTCCTCATTTTTATTAAAAAGTTAATTAAGTTAAGTTATGATCAGAAGTGAAGTAGAGAGAGATGCTTGTTTCTGTTCTGTAGGAAAAATAAATAAAGATATTTAAGATAAAATTATGTTATTTTCTTGATTATTAATTATTTTATTTTAACTCCTCTGTTTATAATGAATCTTAATATTGGTTTTGCATTTAAATTCGTATTCAATAAATCATTTTATGCATTTATAGTTACTTATGATTAAAAAACCTTGAGACTAATGAGAATCCTTGACAGTTCTATTATTATCCGTATTTTGGAAAATTGTTACAAATCTATTTAATTGTTTCTACATTACTATCGTAAATTTTAAAAATTGTTTAAGTTATGAGGCAGCACTTCAGAAGTGATATAATTTAATCAATATTAAATGCAATAGTTTCATTTCACCAAATCTATTTCAAACAATAAAGTCTTTATTATATAAAATCAAAGCCAAGAGAAAAATTTTGCTGTTGCGGCAATCGTGCCTGTGTGTTTCTAACAATTTGTTATGTCATGCCCTCTAAAAAGCAGTATAATTTAGTTAATGATGATGCTTACGACAGTCGAATTCCACTTTATAATGAAGAAGCTTTTCAACATGGAATTACTTTTCATGCAAAAGTGAGTATAAACAGGATGGTTCAGATATTACCTTAGAAAAGTAAAAAAAGAAGTGCATTCCGAGCTGGTTTTTCTCAAACTTTGCATCTGATGAGGCTAGCATATGTAGCACCTTTTTACAATATTTTCAATGAAAATAAATTTGTACTCAAATCCTAGAATAGAGCACATTTTGGCGATTTTTTTGAAATCTTGCCATGTTAGCGATTTTTACAGGGATCAACGTTGCTTTTAGATTATTTTAAAAAAAATTTAATTGTTATAAATTTATTCAAATATTTATTTAATGGAATAAAAAAATAACTTACCTTTACTCTGATGGCTCATCTTTATGACCTCACAAATTATTTTGATTGAATTTTAATGTATAGGGTGACCCGGTGTAATTCAGGATCACTCTGTTTCTGGGGTAAATAATGATCACCTAAGTTTTATTTAAAAAAAAAAAATTTTTTTTTAAATTTAAGACATGGACAAGAATGCTAGTACACTTTACTAAAGTATAACTTCATTTACTTAATAATAATTTTTTGTTTAATCTTACAAAATAAGTATCTTTTAAACTGCTTTCTGTATTTTCCATTTCAAAGATAGGTTTCAAAATGTGCACATTTCTGCAAAGATCCCCCTCCTTCTCTTAATAATAAATATTTTGAGTCACTATCTTTTTCTTTGATATAAAAGTAGTGTAAGCTTTTGTTTAATTGTTTCACATCTACTGTAAACATTATAATTGATTATAGGAAACTATATCAAATGTTGCCCCCTACAGATGGGGTAATTATTGATCACTGGGGTAATTCCTGATCATTGTCATTTCTTCTTATAAATAGTATATAAAATAGCTTATAAATACCTAATTGTCTTTTCTTAAATAACAGTTCATATTTATTAAGTGGAACAACTATAAAATATATTTTAACTGTCATCACAAAATTTGTTTTTAACTGTATACAAGACTGTATTCTGATTTGCACCATTTCTGGTTTGTCTTACCTTGCTTCTATCTTAATTTTATGTGTGTACATCGTTAGAATAATTTTTAAGTTTATAAATTAGCCTAGTATAAATATGGTGAGAAATTATAAGCCTAAAAAGGATACTAAGCTTCTAGAAAACAAAATTAGTGAATTTCTTTTAATGATTGAAAATGAAAATTTCAGTGTGAGAGCTGCTGCCAGAGCTGTTGACATACCTTACTTAACTTTACACTTTCCCTTAATGAAGTTAAAAAATCCAGCAAAAGTAACCCATGTGGGAACTCTCTTATATTTCAGAAGAACATGAGAATGAGTTGGCTGATTGCCTAAAATGTATGGCACGATGCAAAGATTTTTGAAAATTTAAAGTGTTAATCGTTCTTCTTGCTTTTAAATAAATCATTTTATTAGCTGCTTAAACATATCTTTTTGGTTTATTTGTTTGATCTTGATGTCTTATTTGTTAATTACTATTATATAATTATTTTTAAACAGCCCCTTTACAATAAAAACTGGTGATCAGTAATTACCCCAGAAGTGATCAGGAATTATCCCAGAAATGATCAAGACCAGGGGTAATTCCTGATCACTAAAAACTTAAAATCTTTTAAATTCTAATTAGATTTTCAAACAAAAGAAGGTGGCATTGGACTTATCTCATATGGTCTCAAACTTCCAGTAAATATTAAAATTCTATTTTGAATAGTTTTTTCACAAAATAGTTGTTTGCGTTTTTTGATCAGGAATTACCCCAGGTCACCCTACAACATTTAATCATTGCTCTCTTTCCTTTTGTATTTAATAAAGTTAAACATTCGCTCGCCATTTTCTACTTATACCGCACAGAAGAATGAAATAATAATCGTAATAAATGAAGTAACGGTTAAAAAATGAAATAATAACAATGATTTTAATCGTGGTGTGATCGGACATTCAAAATAATTTCTCTGAAAAATCTCCCAGAAACCTAGTTTGGCGAGATTTTAAAAAATCACCACGGGGTGGGCTATTCTAGGATGCACCCGTTGCATACAGATTTAACAAATTGTAAAGATTTTCCTATTGATACTCAGGTTTTTAGGACAGTGGCCAGGGAGAAATTATAGATTAAAAAAAACATCACAGATGGAGAAAAACTTATAGCTACCACGCAGCAAACCTGTACTTTCTTTTTTTCTTAAATTTTTGAAAGTTTACAATCCCTTTAGTGATTGCAATTATCATGAGCAGGTGCCTCAATGAATACATGAGGACCGAAAATTTTATTTGTTAAATAAGGGCTTTCTGCAATGTAGGATTCCTAAAATGAAAAAAATTGTGCACCTGCCTTATGGTTAATTTTTAATGCACTTTATTTATTGGTTTGGTGGTCATGAGGATATTTTCGTATCGTGTTGATCTGTCACACCAAGGTGTTAAGTTGATTTTAAACTTGCAATTTTTTAAAAAAAACATGTAGATGTTTCCGGGGTGGGGGTGTTTATAAGTTACACTTTTCAAGGTCCATTTCTGTGATGTTTTTTTAAGTTCCTCACAGACTGTTGCCCGGAAGTTGCCAAGACGTGGCAATTATTCTGCCACAGATCACGATACAGAAATCTCCTGTGTTTACTACAGCCTTTAAATAACAATTTCATTACTAATTTAATTTAAAATTTTTATTTTTTTTAATATTATAATAAATTACAATATTTAATTTATTATTATTTAATTTATTATTATTTAATTTACTATTATTTAATTTACTATTATTTAATTTATTATATTTAATTTATCTTTTAAGATAAATATTTGATTTTTTGTTAAATGTTAAAGATAAATCATATACAGGTCAATTAGAATTACTGAAAAATTTATTCCATATATCTGTAAATGCCCTCAAAATCTGGGAATTCTGTCAAAAATCCAGTGGATTTTATTATTTCTGCAAAGGATATAATTTTTTTTCAATATTTAACTATAAATCATGATTATGGGTATATGATTTTTTCGATAATGTGAAGTACCGAAATAGATATGTTATTTATGAATCCTTATGTTTATACTTAATTATCTAAGGCTTATTGCATTGTAATATTTTGTTTATTTGTTGGTCCATGTATGTAATTTAAATTTATTTAATGAAGGCTTTTGTTGAATGATAGTTAGTAATGGATTAATTTTCTTTTCTTTAGTATATTGGTTCTTTGGACGTACCAAGACCGAGCAGTAGAGTTGAAATTGTGGCAGCTATGAGAAGGATCAGAGTAAGTTTTTTCTTTCTTTTTTAAAAAAAATCTCTTTCACTTCTTTTTATAAAAAAATTTTTTTATTAAATTATAATTTTTAACGTATTTTTTCATTTTTTCCAAAAATAAAACAGGATCCATGGTTGCATTCATTTAATTTTTTATTTTATTTTTATAATATATAATTGAACTCTTTTATAACAAGCTCTGATTTAAAGAAATCGGAAATTCATGGTTGGTACAAGTACAATGTTATAGCTCATGGAGCATAGCTTGTTTTAAACACGCAAATTCCAGTTTATGCGAGCAATAGTTTAAGTATTCATAAAATTTCTTCTTAGTTCCACGTCTGCAGCTCAAGTAGTCTCTTTCTTGGTAGAAAAAAAACTACAAAAATATCTTTTTGATGTTTTATTAGATCAAAGAATACAGAGGATATTTTTGGTGAATAATTTTTATTCGAAGAACAATAACACAATAAACAGATAATAAGACTATACAAAGTTAATTAATTACCTTATTTTGTATTCTACTGAAATAAAAAAGAAATTAAGTCGAAATTATATTTACCCTATTTATATACTGTTATTATTTTTTCACGAAGCTGTTTTTTTTTTTTTTTTTTTTTTTTTTTTTTTTTAGTAGTCGGTTTTAACAAGCAAATGTTGTGGTCCATTCTCGCTAATTATATACTAGTTCGACTGTATACACATGTCTGTTATAGTGTTTTCATTAAAACAGCCTCTTGGGAGGAAGGAATAGAATTGTATTCTATGACACTCTGATTTGTGCCCATTTAGCATTTCTTCACATGAAATTCTTTACCATACTATCACTAATACTTTTCAGACAAGTAAACAGTTACCACAATAATGAACATTAAGTCAATTGAATGTGGGATTTAATGTAGAGCAGAAAACTGATATAATTGAATAAGTTGAAAACATTTATATTCTATGTGCAAATGATGATAAGCATGAATAAACATGAGCGTGATGAGATATATTTGCGCGATGAGGATGTATGTATGTCTGTCTTTATTCAGTATCAAGCTTCAATGGAGAAAAATTATATAGAGATTAGATGTGATTATTAAATGGAGATAAAAAAAAATCTTTCTTTTTTTTATTGACATATAATTTTCACATACTCTCAATTTTTTTCTTCTTACAATTTTTACTTTATTCTTGATTTTTATTTGAAACCATTAATTTAACATGTTACAATACATTACAAGAAACTATTTACATCTAAGTGGGGCAGTAAAGCTCATAAACTTTTCATGTTTCGGCTCCTTGAAGCCTTTTGATCAACTCTAAGTAAACTACAACCTATAAAAATTTCAGAAATATGAGCAAAAGCCAATTTCTTTATAATTTCTGTGGGGTTGTTTTTGAAAACCTCTGCACTTTTTTCATTAATATAAGTATGAAGTATGATAATAATTTTTTTGATATGTTCTAATTCGACCCCTTAACGATCGGTTAAATTTCAAGAAAACGGTCATAAAAGTGCCTATTTTTTTGTTTTTGTATTACGTATTTGATTAGTGCTGCAACTAGTTTAAAATGAACTAACTATCTGTAATTATCTTAAAAATATTCTGGTACTGCCATCAGGTGTGTAAAATGAGAAATAAAATGTTTTCCGGACAAAAGAAATGAATTTGTTTTATTCTTATTGGCACGTTACTACTGAACACTCCATCCTGTCTATATCACAGGATCAAGAAATAGCTGGCGAAAACTCACCCGTCATTTTCACGGGAGCGAGAAGGAAGAGGTTAACAAATAAAATATATTTGCTAACTTAATGTTCTTATTTTCAGTGTTTTCAAATGTTTCAGTATACTGTATTAATATTCTAATTACTGTTTATATTGTTAATACATTTTTGTTTTTAAAAAGAAATATGTTTATTTATAGTATGAGTTTAAAGCAAAATCACTGAAGAAAAAGAAGATTAGCCTTACAGTTTCTGTTGATGGAGTAAAAGTCACTTTACGCAACAAAAGAAAAGTCAGTGTTTTTTCTTCCTACTTTGAATAACACTTTTAAGATGATGAATAACAAATTGTCAGTCATAATTTTTTATTAAAAATTGAATAATTCATATTATGCTTAGTAATAAAATTTTTATGGAATATGAAATCAATTATTTAATGTGAGTAAGTAAAGTTACTCCGAATAACAGTTTTATGATTAGCAATTTGTCAAATCATAATTATTTTTTTTTAGAAGGATAAATATTTTAGAAAATCTAGTAATTCATGTTTGAAAATACAGTACAGAACCCGTTATCCGGAAATCAGAAAACCAAAAAACCGGAACGAAATTTCACGCCATTTTTTTAAAAAAATGTTTTTTT